ACAGCGAGAGGGCACAGAATCATTGAGGAGCAAGCAAGGGGAACAAAATGGCAGTTCTGAAGTGACAGTATGCTCCATCAGCCTATGAATTTATATAATTTTATCCAAATTTTGCAAACTTTACGTAGCATGGTTGTCGTGAATGCAATAAAATATACCTTGCGCAATATTTTGTTCTGTTGCCAAACTTACCTTAAATATCTCTTGGTTTGGTCACTTTTGATCTGCTTCACGGACAGTACTGATGTTTCTTTCACGTCTTTCAGGGATCAAAAGGAACTTACGAAGAAAGAAATTTCAGGAGTGAGATCCCACAGCAGCCTAATGCCACCAAAAGACACAGGGAAAATGCTTCCCCTGGTGATGAGCTACAAGATTCAAAGAGAGGACGTACAAAATTGGAGCGTTGGGCAAGCCACAAAGAGAGAGATGATGCTGTCCCTGCCAAGTCATCATCCATTTCATCAAAACTTCAAGAGAAGGAAAAAAGCACTAATGGCCGAGTTAGCGAACCTGTTCATGGTTCTGTTGGCAAGAACCGCGATGGAACTGAAGAGAAAAGTGGCCATGACCTTGCAGAGACCAAAGATGGAAGCGAGAAGGGAGCAGGAGACCGGCATTTGGACACGGTTGAGAAACTCAAGAAACGCAGTGAAAGGTTCAAGCTTCCAATGACCACGGAGAAAGACACCACTGGAGTAAAGAAATTGGAGTCTGAGACATTGCCCTCTGCAAAAGTTGATGGCCCTGTGGATTTAGAGGTGAAAGCGGAGCGGCCAGCAAGGAAAAGACGGTGGACGAGTAGCTGACAGTCATAAACTGGAGTTGAAATTGGCTCTCTTTCGCTGGATTGATTCTCCGTGTAGCTTCCATGCGTAAAACAAATGACATGAGATTCTCCCATCCCATGAAGCAGTTGTGGCGGTAATGAGATGGAGAATCAAGGTCACTGGATATTATTTAGGAGATTAGTGAGAGAGTGTGTGGGAGGAGCCAAGTTGTGTAAGAATAGGGAGGGAATACGCATAAGGATGACTTTGAGAGAATACTCTTTGTAGTAGTTGTTGATGTAACTTTTGTTAAAGATTATTGGTCTTTTAGTTTTGTTCTCATACTCAACGCCTCAAGAGAGAGCGAGGATATTTTAAAGAATACTTAAAACGGCAATGTAATATACTGTAGTAATATTGTTACTGTCTTGTAAACGGCCTTTGATGACTTTTAGATCATTGTTATTTGCCTTTTTTGCTGGGTTTACTATTTATGTCGAGAGAGCAACAACTATGAAACGTAGAGACTGCGTTGGTGGTGGAGAAGGTTCGTAAAACAGAGTATTAGCGATTGATTATCAAGATTCAAAAACTCTACCGAAATCAAACATTCCTATGACAAACAAAGAAAGTTTCTTTAGAGCTTTGTTCTATAACAACAAATCACACTGTTTGCTGAATATATTTGGTTAACATTAATAGCTCAAATCATGTTAATTTGGAAGACGCTGAGGGTGAACATAATACATCCCATGAGGTTATATGGTGTGAACAATCTTTATTAGGCAGCACAGAGGAGTCCCAAGGCCAGCATTGCAAGCGATGAAAGACCGAGATTAGCAGCGTTGGCAACGGTGCCTGAATGAGGAGGTGCATTTGGCTGAGCTCCTCCAGTTGCATTGGAGGAGACCACGTTTGCAACTGGAGGCAGAGGCGGATCAATCACGTCTTTGGCCTCAAGAGGTGGGTTCGGGGCACTAGCCGGTGGCTGTGCTTCCTTGGCTGCCACGGAGAGTAGAGCGCCGGCTTCTGCGGGTAAGATGGCATAAGGCTGGTCTTTGTTCAAATCTGAGCATGGACTCCCTACATTTGCATCAAATATAAATGATCAGTCTTATCTTGCTCATGTGTATATTGTTCTTTCATGTTCTTGTAGTAGAGGTTTGAACTTACTCAAGTATCTGGAAGCAGTGGCAGGGAACTCCGTGATGACTCCATCAACGCCACTCCCTGCAATGAATGTGGCAATCTCTATCGTAGGATCAGAGAAGTAGTCGAACGCTATGGAGATGTACTCGTTTCTTAGCACCGATACATAAACAGAGATATTCCCCTTGTGCATTTCCTCCACCACGTTAGTTTTCCCTGTGGCAAAGCTTTCGGAAACGGTGACGAGGGAAGTTCTCTTAAGGTTGACAGCATCTGCGTGCTTCTTGATTTCTTCGATGGATGGTTTGGGAGCATCTCCAATTTCCTTGTCAATGCTCAAGACTCTAGTGTACGGAGGTACACCCTCAAAAGTGGCCAGAACGGAACTGTCATCTGACTGAATCAAAACCTTTTGGGTTGATTGCTTGTCGAGCGTGGAATTGGTCAGAGCGGACTTGACTACGTCTACGATTCCTAGGCCTTTCTTTGACGCTAAATAAGCAGCGTTCTGTCAACAAGAAGAAAAAAAATAGTGTTAGTGGAGTTGCTTTGAGAGCATTTGCGTTGGTGAAATGGCTTGCCTGGATGTTGATCAGAACTCCAGTGACTGCTTTTGCTTTGCCGAACTCAAGGAAGTCAGCGAGAGTTATGAACTTTCCGGCATTCTTGTTTGCAGGGTTTCTCTGGAAGCCCGTGGAAGCCAAGAAGGGGCTCTCGATTTGAGCTGAAGACAAAGATATCCCAACCTCAGTAATTTAGTTGAGAATGAGATGTTTTCAGTAAAGTAAACAAAGAATGAGTTTCTTACGCTTTAGAGACTGGATCTCAGCCCACGTGAGATCAAAGGAGAAAATGCCGTTGGTAGGCTGAATCTCAGGAATGCTGGTGGCTCGGGACATGAAACTAGTCATGGCAGTGGTGCTTGCTGTGAGGTCTGCAGAGTCACGGCAGAAGGCTACTCCGTCTTTAGACATTTGAACAGAGCAGTCGATAATGTCTGCTCCATCGTCGACCGCTTTCTGATAAGCCATATCGGTGCAGCCTGGATAATCTCCGCTTGCTCCATTGTGAGTTATAACCAATGCATGTCCTGATTTAGGGAGATTGCCCTTTTGGTGAGAAAGGCAAGCTGCAAGAACACAGACACGTTGGACGTTATAACTTTGTTGTATTAATCAAGTTTTTTGAAGATTATAGGGAGAAGAGCTAGCATTTCATCTCACTGATGGCTTGTGATGCTGTTGGCGGGAAATCAGTGATGATGCCATCAACAGAGAACTCGCCATTGTCCACAAATTGGAGGTAATCAGCAGAGGGGTCAAAGCTGTAGTTGTAGCTGGTACGCCAATCATTGGCAAATCCAGAAGCATAGACCTCTAGACCGGCTTTGTGGGCATCAGTTACAAAGGTGGTGGCGGGCTTAAGGTACTTAGCCGAGTCAAGGGGCCAAATGTAGTCTTTGGGGACAATAACGCCTGAAGCAAAGGCCTTGATGGCTGCGAGGTTCTTCTGAAGCTCACTGTACTTCTTGTTGGTGGTGGGTTCAATTGCCTCGGGGTCTTTGAACTCGAATATGAGCTTTGTCTTGGCCCTTCCTGCGTCCATGCCGATGCTCTTCAGGAAACCAATCTCCGGAGATGAGATGACGCTAATGCCGCGGAAACGCATGCTTTTCAGGTACTCAGCTGCACTCAGCTTGTGTTCCATGTAGAAGGCATCATACTGCACATTTGTATTGTTTTAATGAACAAGAAGCCTCCCTAGGTTGGTTAATCATATTTTGGAAGAGAGTAAGAAGAGAAACCTGAACGCTCAACCAAAACTTGGGAGGCTTGGTCCCCATGACGTCCTCCACGGCGGAAATTGCCATTTGGCCATCGAAAATGCTGGGCCGAGAGTAGATGTTCTGGACCACTGCTCAATAATAATACAAAACATGAAAAAGGTTTGCTGGTGGTGGTTGGAAGCATTGTAGGGAGGAAAAGAGAAGAAAACATACGGGAGACATTGGAGAAGATGGTGTCGGAAAAGTAGTCAAGGGCAAACCACCCCTTGAGGTCTTGACCATTGACCTTGTAAGTCTTCTGTGCTTTGGGAAAGACCGTGGAGATGGTGGTTGCATTGTCAAGCGTGACATCAGACAAGCAAATACCAACACCGTCCTTTGTCATCTGAAGGTTGCACAACATTGTGAGACCAGGGGAACTAGTGCTAATAGCCATGTCATTTGCAGAGGCGCTCGATTCCGGAAAAAGACCCGAGAAGCCGCCTCTAGCCACAACCGCAGGCTCTTGCCCTGAAGAGACAGGTATAGGTATTTAAGCACAAACAATATGTAATATGGGGAGATTCATAAGATATATTGTATCCACCAAGAACACAAAAACATGTTACAATGTCAAAGGATACATACCGCTAAGGGTGAGCCATTTCTTGGCAGGAGCAGCCGCGGTAGCAGCCGGTGCCGCAACACAAGAATGTATTAGAAAAGATAAAAGAATAAAAAACCTCAGCATCTCTGTTTGATTGATTGTTTAATTGATCCTGCATGTGTGTACGTACCCCATTAGAAACATAAACGATATACATGAATTTTGTTTACATAATAGAAAGAAAAAAGGTGAAAGAGATCTCTTACAAGGGGAAAAGAAGAACATGAATCCCCTCTTCAGCTTGTTTCCCTCGTTATGCCCCTTGACAAGGAAAAAGAAGCCAA